AGAAAATGCCGGTAGAGGGTGCCGGAGCGTTTGGTCAGTTTCAAAGACCGAAAAGCTGGTGCACTCACATTAAATTGATTCTTCTCAACAGACATAATAAACTCTGTGTCGGACAAAAAGAAAACAACTTATGTAGGTCTTTGACATATCCAACGAACCAAGCAAAACGATCTAATTTTATCGACGACAGATCTTCGAAGCTGACAAACCATAACTTACTTGCACCGCGTCATTACGGAAAAACAACTGACAAGTCAGTCAGTTTTCACCAACCAAACTGATATCCCTTGACCGACAAACATCTTGGGCAGAGTTCATCTTCATTTTCACGTGAGAGGTTGTCAAAACGTCACTCAATAACGCCTGTCCCTTTGAGGCGCCCATTTGTAACAAGTTGTCGCGTTCTGAATGCAAACCCACACACGAATGCTTATTTCATAGCTTTTATCATCGGTGAACATACTGTTCTCACAAACTGGTTCATTCATCTCGCCATTCATACAAAAACTGATAAGTGCAACTCGCTTATTTTAATAGTGTTGTGTTACAGTATAATGATTACCTGTCACGACTACGTCTTGCTCTGACTCGTGTGCATATTTTTTATGAGAAACCGGATTCGCTTTTTGTTCCGATATTTGTCGAATCATCGATCAATCTTCACCAAATTGCTCGAAAAAATGGAGTGGAAAATTAACTACAGGATAGACGTAGTTCAAGTTTGTTTGAAACTTGCCGGCGCGTTCAATGAAACATTCCGGTGCGTGAACACTGAAGCAGGCGCCGATTGCAATTAATATTAACAGAACACTATTCACATTCTTAAAAAGTATATTTTCTTTCTGAAACTCACCGAAGATGGTTGAGGTAGGTTTGCAGTTTCGAAGAAGTCATCACCTGCGATTCAAACACCAAATTGTTTACATTCCGCTGCATAAACATATAAGGGAGCGCCGATTGCAGTAAATAAATTGAGAAGCATATTAGTGAGTATTTGTTTCATTACTCGCTCAATGAAACTCGTGTTACGATGCCTCGAGTAACTGACATTTTCCTTCCCAGTGTGTGTAATGTGTCTGTTAATAAAGTTCAGTTAGCCTTTGGCAATGAAAGAGAGAGTCAGTCTCTTTGTGTCTGAATGATGACACTACTTGTCCAGTCCATTTCATGGGGCAGTACAAGTAAAAATATCTCTTCCAAGTTGATGTCCTTAGTTTTGTAGCTATGCTCTGATTAAACGTTTCACAGAGGAAATAGTATCATGACTATCATCGATACTATGATTAATCATAGTGGAAATTGGAAACAAGTTCTTGGAAATCTAGAGGGAAAACCTGAGACATGGTTGGGTATTTCACTTGTTGACTTGGTTAAAGGGATGAATCCAGGAAGGTAAAACTGTTGCTTAAGGGATAGGGATTTAATATTACTGATTGAATAAAACTGAAACTCAAATACAGTACTTTGTATTAGACTAACTGTATACGCATTTCCCGTAAAACTTTAAGGCAGTCTTATGTCTAAAGGCCATGATGGGTTCATGGTTGTGTGTGAGATAATTTGCACACAACTTAAAGGCAAATTTACTTAGTTTGTGCTTAATGGCATTAATCCAAGGCGTTCTTACTTTTCTTGTTGTGCATTGGATTACAATTAAAGTTTACACATATTGATGCTTCTGGTGATAAATTTGAATTATTTTTTTTCATTTCTTGTTATCAAGGAAATGGGAACCAGTGGAGAAGGAACCAAATTTCAGTGCAAGGTCTGATTTCGTCAATTTATGAGTCTAATTCCCCCTTTTCCTTAATTTTTTTAAATAGTTTTGACACTGTTTTCTTTACTTTTAATTCAAAGCTTGTGGGGATAACAGATGTCATTAGCCCAGAGGGTGTAGATATGTGTGCTGAAGCTTTTGGGAAATTAAAGGTGCAGTGTACCGGTTCATGAGTCATGTTAATTCATGAACTTGATCATGAATCAAAGCTCAAATTGATTTTTTGCCACAATGGCAATTATAAGTGGCGTTATATCCTAAAACATGACAATTATAGGCTGTGTTATTCCTTGAACATGCCAACATAAAACTGCCTGAGTTGCATTATTATAACCTACCAGTAAGTATTAAAAACTTCTCAGTGTACTTACCACAGGCAAGTCTGCCAATATGACAAATTGATACTGCCTATAGTTGATCATGAAAGCTTGTCATAAACTGCCATTCATTCAGCCCAATTTGGTACCAAGCATCTTCTCTACTGCCTTACCCCAATGCACTGCAATATCTTTTCACTTTTCCCTCTGGTAACATAATAATCTTCTCAGTCCTGGAATGCCAGCAAGTAATAATGTGTGTGGTTTTCATTATTATTATTATTATTATTATTATTATAATTATTATTATTTTTAATATTTAAACTGGGCTCAGGCAAAGAAAAAGTGGCGGCACAAGGAGAGGGTGACACTGACTATTAGTTTGGAAGGTATCAGGATAGAAGATGAGACTACTCAAGTAAGTGTGCAACTCAGATATTGGAAAAAAGATTTTTTTTTCAGAAGATTAGGAAATCAGAATGCCAAGTAAAACTATGCAGTATATTTCTATCTATACATCTTATACACTATATTTTTTTATCAAAAAAAAAAATAAGAGATAAGTTAACTCTTAAATGCCATCTAAATATTGTTTTCATTTTTTCCATCTAATCACTAAAGAATATTTTCAAGGGGCAATATATGGTTCAAATGTTTTGTTACATGTTACATTACATTTTCTTTATCAATTTACCCATTGACTTATCCATTCATTTACTTATTTATTTATTTATCCACTCAAGTCAAAAATAGCTAGAGAGTACTGAATAAAGGAGGGAGTGAACAGCAGAAGGGAAAGATAAAATAAAATCTCCAGGTGCTCCTTCCATCTCGGTACTTTTTTTGTGTTTTTATAGGTTTTACTGATTTATTTATTTTGTTTAGAAAGTGCAGCACACGCACCCTGTCAAGAGAATATTATTTGTGACTCCTGACCCAGATGATAAGAAAATATTTGGTTATGTTTGCCGTCAGCCTGATTGTTCCACTGGATATAAATTGTATTCCCTGAAGTCAGAAAATGTAAGAGGAACTAAAGAAATTATTTGCTTTGTTGAATGAAATACAGGAAATGCTAAATTGCTAATTGTAGGAGACATGATGCATGGTCTTGGTTTGAGACATGTCTTGTTTGCCATGTTTTGTTACTAATGGGACCTGATGTCTCACACTCGCAATACCTCTCTCTGTTAAGGAACATATGGAGCTATTAGAAAACTGCTAAAGAATGAACTTAGCATTAATCCTTACCCTGGTTGAATTCACATTCAAACAGGGTAAGGATGCATGCAGTGCCCCTGGTTATGTCATATGCTCATGAAAGTGGAATGAGCATCTGGCCATGGATCAAGCTCCAGAAGCAAGGGCCATGGGCTTGACAGCAAACTCATCTTATAACCAGTAGCTAATAGTTGGTTTCAGTTATACATATGTCATCACCCTTTATAAGGAAAAGGTATGCAAGTCTACTTTCTACTGTTCAAAGAGATACACAAGGGAATGTATTTCATATCAAATTAAGGCAATACAATTGGACATACAAATTAATCCTGAGTCATCCAAAAATGAACTGATCTCCTTTTCCTACATTCTCTTTTCTGTATGACATTTGGATTCAATTTTTTAACCATTCAAGGGAATTTCTGGTTTGCAAAAAAATGTTTTAAAAATTGAGCTCCCCAAAAATTTCTTGTTTCAGTTAATTTATTGTATGTGTTTTTGTGCCTCTGTGAGAGAGCTCCCCAAAAATTTCCTGTTTCAGTTAATTTATTGTATGTGTTTTTGTGCCTCTGTGAGAATAGCATTTCCTGTTGAAAGAAATCATTGAGGAGGAACATTTTTGTCAGGGAGCTATGCAAATTGTATCTTGTTCAAGAGGAAAAATACCTTAAATCTACTTTACAATAGTGCACTTTGATTTGAAGGCTTGCAAGACTCAGCTGCAAATTTTTAGTCTCCAATTCATATATGCAAATAAAAATTTTCAAAATATTTAATCTCAATTATTTCTCATAAGCACTTGCAAGTGTTAATTATTCTAAGCATGTGTTATTAGTTCTTTCAGGCAAAGACCATAATCGATGCCATTACTGTACTTTTGGTGGAATCAGTAAATCTTAGACGAAGGACTGGATCAGCAAAGAAGCAGGTTCTCAGCAATTCATCAAATGGTACTGACTGCAGATCATTGATTTTGTTGAATGATTATAATTACTGTAAGAAGACTGTTCCACAAAAGTAAACGTTTTGAAATAACTCGTATGTACTGGTCCCAACTTTATATTTTTATTTTAAAGCTACTACTATGGTGTGTTCATGAGAAAGTAAATTTGTTATTGACTGACAATGACTGATAAGTTAAGGGAATTCCACTCTTCCAACGATCTTACTGATCATTACTTTCTCTTTTGAAGAATGAAGTGGTTATTAGGCAAGTACTCCACTCGACTTAGCTCAGAAAGTCCTGCCTCATTTGCATCTGAGTGACGTCATCCGTATCATAATCACTAGCGGTTAAGTGTAATTTTTTTTTAAATGAAGAAGTCCACTCTTTTCTACTTTTCCAGTCTGCTCTCTTTAGCTTGTAACACGAACTAAACGTGCGAGAGATTTCCGTTATCTTATTGTCGTAAACTATACCTTTTCTTTAGAGGAAAGTACGCCTGATAAACAACTCATGTCTCTACTATGTGGAACTTTTTGCAAAAATGGTAAACTATAGTGAGCAGCACTGTGCGAGCTAAACTAGGAATAACTTGCTTCTTGTTGTAGTTCTCACTCGTGTTACAACTTTGCATTCGTATTGCAGAAGTAAAAGAAACTCTGCCGATTTTTTTTCGTTAGAGAACCAGACCGAGCAGGAACAGCTCAGGGAAGAAGTTGACCAGTTGCAAGAGAAGGAAGGAATGAATGGCGAGGTTGGCGAGCTAGAAGAACAGCTGGCAAGAAGAGACCAGGAAACGAATGAACTAGAAAGGAGCCTTTCAACAGCTCAGCAGATATTACGTGACAATCAGGCTCAAAGATCACTAGAAATGGATTGTCAAGAAGCACAAAAGCGACAACTGGGGGAGAAAGCTGAGGGAGATGAAACTTTACGAGAACACTTTGAGGAAATGGAACGAAGGTCGAGAGAAGAAATAACTGTAGTTTTGTGTGAACAGATCACAGAAAAGGACCAGAAGTTGACGGAGATGATACAACAATTGACAGTGACAGAGAAGCGAGAAGAAGATCTTAAGACGCAGATAAAGAATGTAGAGGAACAGCTGAGAGAGAATGAGAATTTACGAACGAACCTGAGAGATGTTGAGCAACGATTAACACAGAAAGAGGCACAAGAAGAAAATTTACGATTAAGCCTGGAGCAGATGGAGCAAAGGATGAGAGAAGAATTAACACAAAAGGAAACGAGAGAAACTGAGTTGCGCAAACAGCTTAGAGAAAGGGAGGAGCAGGCTGTTGAATGTCAGAGACATTTGAGCGGGATGGAACAGCAATTGTCAGAAAAAAACCATCAAAACGAAACTTTACTGAAACAACTTAGGGAGATGGAACAACGATCGAGAGAGGTTACAGCGGAGAATGAGATGAGAGAAAATGAGTTTCGTAAACAAATCAGAGAGAGAAAGCAAGAACTGAGGGAGATGGCGCATCAGTTGATTGAGAAGGAGCAACAAAAGAAGGACTTACGCACGCACACGGAACAACGGCTGAGAGAAGAAATGATAGAAGAAACTACGAGGCTAGGTAAACAGCTTAGAGAAAAGGATCAGCATTTAGCAAACGCTCGAACGCAGGTGGAGAAGCAAGAACTACTCAGAACAGATCCCCAGCACCAACTTGAAGTAATTGTAGCAGAAAATGCAAATCTCCGACAACAGGTTGTTAATTTCGAGAATCACACCGGATCACAGCCCGATGATTGGGTAATTTCCCGGGATAATATTCAGTTGACTGATAAAAGCCTTGGAGTTGGAGGGTGGGGCGAAGTTTTCGAGGGCAGGTACTGTGGTTGTTCTGTTGCCGTGAAGCGAATCCATGAGGCGATCAATTCGCCTCACAACCAGAGTTTGTTCCAGAGGGAAATTAATATTGCTTCGCGATGCCGACACCCTTGCTTGCTGCAGTTTATCGGAGCGACTTATGACGAGGAAATTCCATTGTTTGTTACTGAGCTGATGGAATCAAATTTGCGCGAGCTACTGGATCAACGACCTCTTTCCCGTGAGGAAATCATCGTAATTTCGCTCGATGTGGCTCGAGCGTTGAACTACCTCCACCAAAAGAAACCTCCTATTTTTCACCGCGATGTTAGTAGCGGCAATGTGTTGCTATGGCGACAGGCTAACCAGTGGCGAGGCAAAGTGTCAGATTATGGTTCTGCAAAGTTTGAGGAACAGTTTATGTCAATTGGCCCAGGTTGTTTCGCCTACAGTGCACCTGAAGTGCAGATACGAGCAAAGCATACAGCAAAGGTGAGAAAATAAGCTTACAGAATTTCCTTGGATATATTTCTTTAAAACATGAACCCTTTACAATTAAGGATTAAGCGGTACTTGTGTCTTAACTCAGTCTTAAGTCGTGTGCTCGGTTAACGCAAAACGGCAAAGTGTGCTCAGTCTACAAAAACGGCAAAGAGTGCACGGTCTACACAAACGGCAGTGTGCTCAGTCTACACAAACGGCAGAGTGTGCTCAGTCTACACAAACGGCAAAGTGTGCTCGGTCTACACAAACGGCAAAGTGTGCTCGGTCTACACAAAAGGCAAAGTGTGCTCGGTCTGCACAAACGGCAAAGTGTGCTCTGTCTATACAAACGGCAAAGTGTGCTCAGTCTACACAAACGGCAAAGTATGTTCATTCTACACAAACGGCAGAGTGTGCTGGGTCTACACAAACGGCAAAGTGTGCTTAGTCTACAAAAAAGGCAAAGTGTGCTTAGTCTACAAAAACGGCGAAGTGTGCTCAGTCTACGCAAACGGCAAAGAGTGCTCGGTCTACACAAACGACAAAGAGTGCTCGGTCTACGCAAACGGCAAAGAGCTTGTGAAAACAGCGATCTTATTTCATTGTCTTTTCTTGTCCTGCTTTTTAGATTGATGTCTACAGTTTCGGTGTTCTCCTCTGTGAAATGTGCATTCAGATATTCCCGGATTATGAAAACCGTGAACTTCAAATCACTCAGATGACAGACCAGGTATTGCAAGACCTCGTCCGCCGATGTGTGCGGTATGATCCCACTGAAAGACCAGACATGACAGATATTATCAGTACACTGGAAGAGTTCAGTAAAACGTTGTAAATTTATCGGGGCATGTATTTTTTAAACCATTATCGGGGTTCTTTTTTTTTTAAGAATATTAAAGATGAAGAGTTGATTTGAGAAAAAAAATTATTAGCTACGAGTCGCTTGCAATGCCTAGGGAGGGTCGCGAGTTGCACAAAAAATAGGCTTTATATGCACTTAGAAACAATTGTCAAGTTTATGGATGAAGATAAAGCAAGACTTAAAAAAAAACTTCCAAATTCAGCAACATTTATTCGCACATACAGTTGTGTTAAGTATTTTGTTAGAAAAGTATATAAACAAATCTTACAGTGTTAACATCAAATGATGTTGTCCTAGACTCTTTGAATTATTCAAGAGTCCATTCATACTCAGTTAGTACAGTGTACGCGTTGGCTTTGTAACGAAATGCATAAATTTTTATCATAAGCATAGAATATTTTGTCACCGAGTAAACTAATTTCTCCGTGTACATAAATGTAGGCGATAACTATCCAGCTACAGAGCTGTTATATTAGGCTGTAACATGCAATCCCAGAGTCTCAATCTGCAAAACACGACGAGTGAAAACAAAGAATCCTTAGGGGAAAAAACTTATTAAGGAAATTTTTTCCGTATAATTGTGTTAATCAATCCATTAATTTTTAATTTAAAAATCCCGATAGACAACAGGAAATCAGTTGCGCACTGATGGTTGGAGTAGCCTTTTAGTTACAGGCAGAATTTTAAAAAGAAAATTCTTTGTATCTTAAAGCCTGAACTGTTTATGGCTCATTCAGTGCAGAAACGTCTAAGTTGTTACTTGGGTACAAATCGGTATTTTTCCAAGTGTAAGCACATTTGGACCCAAAGCAATTCTATACGTGTCTTTTTGTTGAATTGATTTCAAAATAGTACCAATAACCAGGTTGAGAACGGTTCATTCCAATCTTGGATTTGTTCCCTCCCATATAAATATTAAGACAAAATTTGTTGACACTTTGTCGTTGATTTGAATTTGAACTATCTACATTTTTTGGTGGTTTGAAAGCTGGTAACGTTACCGCGGAACCCTGTTTTTGTCTAGGTACATCAGTTCAATTACATATGCTCATCATCAACTGATACAGGGTGGTGCAACTGAATCATTAGTTAAGAGTCATTAAGAGAATTAAGAGTCAGTATTCATTTATAATATTGTAATATACCTGTACATGTTATGGTGATAAAAAAATGTCCAATAGATCTTAATTTGCCCACCAACAATTGTTTTTCTTTTTGTACCATCTACTCGTTCAATACTCTTGGTCTTACTTGGATGCGTTTTTCCAAGGTTCTCATGTAAACGAGTTGTCCGCGGGGTGCAAAGAAAATTGTATACTCAAATGAGTAAACTAGTAAACTTTTACATATAAATTTCTGAACTCCATTATCAGGGAGGAGGAATAGAACTCCTGAGCTTCGCAATTTGCGTTACAATGCTCCACCATTCAGAGTTCAGCGGTAAGATAGGAAAACAACTACAATAGGTTAGGATGTGACAAGCGTTTTGCTTCCCTCTAGGATGATGCGCAATGCCGCAAAAATTGTGTGAGTGAAAAGAATAAAAAAGCGAAGGGCGTATGTTTAGCTAAATTTTCTCATGAAGAAAGATGTTGCTCGTTTTGTGACGAGAATGGGACTGGAAAACAATCTGCTTTCCTCGTGGAATGGAGTGCTTCACTTGAAAGGGTTTTCTGTTTCGTGCTTAGGGTAAACCAAGGGTCAAAAACATCTCACGAGTTAAGGTCCAGAAAATTATTCCTGGAGTGTCCCAATAGTATAAAGAACCTTTTAGCAACAGCGGACGTGCATAGCCCAAGTTTTGGGGCTGTGATTGACTCTTTTACACACAAGATCTCAATAGTAATTCTCCTTACTATCTACCGTACAATTCTTATGACGTTATTTTGGAGAATTTGGTCTTGGATCAACTAATAATCCCCAGATTGATATTTGTGTTTATTCTCGTCAATTGTCTGCATGATATTGTATCGATATTGTAAGGAGAAATTCTGTCTTGGTCACTCATGGGAATTACAGGATTAAAAGCCCCGCGTTGAAATTCGTCCTTCAGCAGTTTAGGAATTTATCAGCCTCAGTGTCGGGATAAATTTTGGTTACGCTAGGTAGCCGACTTATTGTCTAAAACGTATATCCAATATTATTCATTATTGACGAATTTTGATTTTGAAGCTCTAGCAAAGGTGACGGCACGATAGAAAAAGGAATAAAGTGCTCATACTATACGTAAACATAAAATGAAAGAGTTTTGGGAGGGTTGAACTTGCTGAGTGTGTCAGGTCTGGAGACAAATATGAAGAACTCGAGAAACATACCACGTCTCAAACTAATCACTCCTCATCAAAGTCACCAGTTAGTCTTGTGAATGTAATCTTTTATCAATCAATTTTTGATACTATGCCCAAAGCCCATTTAGTTTGATCCTTCACTGACTCCTTGCCTTGGCTTAATATCTTCGTTGAAAGTAAGTAATATACAAAAGTTAACCCAGACGATTAGGTAGGAGACAACTTGTTTTATTTCGGGAGCAAATAAATTTATTTGAAATAGTGCTTGCCAAAAATGTGCACCTCCCGACAACAACACTAGCACTTTAAGTCCATAAAGGCTCTTGGATTCACGCAACTATTAGTTCATCATAAGTGCAGCATTTTTTAATAGCTGCGTTACTTTGTATATACTTTATGTTACGGTCCATGGGCGGAAAATCTCTTACAACATTGAGTCACGAAGTCTGTGCGGACACAGCACGAACATAAATTAGTGTTAACTCTCTTTGTCGCTGAGATAACTGTACTCGTTCACTTGGACGGTTGAAAATAATAGCAATCATAGCAAGAGTCAAAGCTGAGGTCAATTTGACACCAAGCAAAGTTTCAACGTGTTTCATCAAAGGTAAATTTATATCCGTTAAAACACTTCAGTAAATAACAATAATTGTGTCGTAAAGGTCAAAGTTGTTTGACGTAGCTCTTTCGAACTGTCACGCTCATTTTGGGCATAGCAGTTATTTACGAAGTTATATAAGAGTCTCCATCATTTTTCTGAGAAAAGTCGTATCTGACACTTTTCATGAGTTTCTTATCTTCCTCATCCCGATTCAGCCAACTAAGTGAAACAACGACGTAGCAAGTAAAGAAGAAGAGCCTTATTTCCGTTTCTCAGAGGAGCTAATTTCGCTTTCACATCGCACGACCAGACCAATAAAAAAATTTCTCCGCAAGGTACAGAATGGAAATCGACAATGTTCAGAAGGAGAAACCCCAAGATAAACACTCTGAGTACTACATCGTCCGCTTTGATCCAATTTAGAAGCTGATGCAGGGAGAGTTATTGAAAGCTTTATCAAGCTCATACGATTTTAAAGTGGAAACATTTGTCCCTGTCTACCAAGGAGAGCATAAAACGCGGATAATAGTGTGTTCCACCACCAACGAAGCATTTATCAGATTCTCAAATTAAGATGCTAGTTTACTTTTGGCTTGCACTTCACCTGAATCAAGGAATCAAGTACTTAGTCGGCAAGGAATGGCATGTGAACTGTGCATGTGACATGTGTGGAAGATCTAGGTACGTGACTACTGTAGATGTACGTAACTTTCAAAATGCACAATTCCCCCCTAATCTCATACCCAGATCTTACTGTGTAGCTATTATTGTAACCCCTTGGCCATGAAAGGTCTGGGTACGAGACTACAATCCCCCTTCTTTGGAATGTTTTGTTTTATAAATGCTGATGTCCTGTTTCCGAATAAATTAACTCACCCATTCATGCACAGACTGTATTTTGATATATCACCAATTTTACTTAACGTTTTTTATGAGCTTCCCGTTATGTCGCTAAGGAAAGTGAAAGCGGCGGCTGTTAAATGAAGTCAGGCTCATAAGACCCAACCATGACCATGTATATTTTGTTGGTTCGTCAATGTGCACTCTTCAGTGTTTACAGTGGACAGGTAATAGAAAGCTACCTGTTTAAAGAGTTTTAATGCATTTTAAGGATTTGGCATAGGCGAGAGCTCTCATTAGCTTAACCCTTAAACCCTCAAGATCTGATTGTTAATTCTCCTCACCGGCTGCTATACATTCTCCATTAAACTGGCTACAACAAATTTTAACAAACCAATTATCAAAGTTCAAATGCCCCAGGGCTTACCTGGGAAGGAGGGATGTTGACGCTTCAAATGGATAGAGGCATTAAATCTTATTAATTTCTGATTTCTTTCAGCAGATTGAATTGAATTTGGTCATTATCCTCCAATACGTTTTACTGTTTGATCGCCAATTTATAACCCTCTTAAATAAACCTTGAAACCCTATCTTTTGTTAGTGTTATTATGTATATGGTCTTATTGGGGTACACCACGAGCCAGTGGAAGGATATGGCGTGGCGTAAGGGTAAAATAAGTTCTCACCACCTAACTCTTTATAATTGAATAATTAGAGATTTTTCAAGCACCAACCCTATAGTGGTTAAAACTGTTTAATAATATCATTATTTTCAATCTATGTAGTCGTTTCCTCCAGATTTAATTAATATATAGAATATGGAGGATGGTTTGAAATTCAGTTAGATTTAGCGGCTTATCGATTGTAACTTGATTGAGCTTTTGTTTTCAAGGCATTACCTTACCCCACCCCCGCTGAGAGCAGTACATGCGGTTCTATAGTAAACAGCCGTTAAGGGACTCGATTCGGTGACCTTTTCAGTGAATATTTATCTCTATTAATATGAATCTGGACATCGATAACTGAGAGGCCTGGACTGGGTACAGGCGGGGTGGATGTTGGTATTTTTATTTTTCTTTAAGATTGAAAAATTTGTTCAGCATATAAGTCCTAAGACTTGGGTAGAGCCAATGGCTATTCACCACGCTAATGCGTTTTAATTGCGAAATTACTTTAGTATTACTGCTTGGGTATCTGTGCACGTGTTATTAATAATCTAGCAAGCAAGCAAGCAAGGAACAAGTTTATTTGTAGCTTTAAGAAAAAGTTTTAGTTTCCCTCCAACCCACACTATAGACAGTTTTGATTGTATCTTAATCTCATTCGTGTTTGTAATTTATTCTTGATTACTGGACCGTTGGTTTAGTGTATTCGTCCAATATCTTTTATGTTATAGTCTACTGAGTGTGTTATTTACGTAGGATATATACATTTAATTAACTGTCTGGTCCCAAAACAAGCCTCTGCCTGTTGTGGTGTTTAGTTTCACCTTAACCTGAGGCATATTTTATGCCTCTCTAGAGTTTTCTAAAAACGGGCCTCTTACTCATAATGCAAAGCTATTGTTGTTCACGACACGGTGTTGCCGTCTGAGATTGGTCGATTTTTCGGTTCAAGCGACATATGTGCCGTTATTTATTTATTACCGCCTTCCTCACTGAATGGACGTCAGTTCCTGACTACGAGATATCTTAGCAAGGTAACGCACACTTTTAGCTACTAAATTTTTTGGTTTAGTCCCATGACTGATTTTTATCCATTACAGAAACTTTCAGTGTCAGAAGTACTGTGGTTTTACGCATGGCAACAGATTGTGACGAGAGTTTGCACTTTCACTTGCTGCGAATCGATTGTCAACTACGTGTGCATTTCATTGTTTTAGACAACTCAACATTGTGCAAGCAAAGCACAGCGTGTTTTGGGAGAGAAGTGATTCTGTTGTTTCTGGCATTTTCAGGTGGATCAGGGATACCGGTGTAATCATTAAAGAAGATATGGATGAAGCAAGCACTCGAGGTTATTAAACATGGACCCTGCTTCTGGGGGCCTCTCGCTATCTACAATCACAAGTTCGAAACGGTAGTCGAAAAATTCGAAGATTTATTCTTAGCAGTTATCTTCTTTCAGATTACCTTAACCACAGATATATCTATTTATTGCCCTTATTTCCGTAAATTGTTTAGTATTTTAATGAAATAGAACCATAAACAATTCAACCTGGAGCACTCACATGAAATAGATTCTTCGCAACAGATATAATAAACTCTATGTGTCGGACACAAAGAAAACAACTTATGCAGGTCACTGACATATCCAACGAACCAAGCAAAACAATCGAATCGTCGAAGCTGACAAACCATAACTGACTTGCGCCGCGTCAGTTTTACAACCATTACGAAATAACTACTGATAAATCAGTCAGTACCTATTAACCAAACTGATATCCCTTGACCGGCAAACATCTCCTTACGTGAAAATGATGATAAAATCTGCCCAGGTTGTCAAAACTTCAGGTAAAAACACCAGTTCCTTTGAGGGCTACCCCCAATTGGACGGTCAGACCTCACAACCGTCTGCTGTCGAACACCAGGAGTATAAGGCCCTTTACTCAGTGTTGGCGAGCTTTTCGGTGGCGGTTTGTTGTGGTAGCGAATTGAGCGGATACCGTTCTGATATCAGCCTTACAATTTAATTGTCTTGTTATTTCCTACAATTAAAACAGGCCTTATTGTATTTTGTCATTTACCTAAGTATGAAGTGTTTAAACTGGTCCAATTGTTCTTGAAGTTAAAAATGTAAGAATGACTGAGTATCTCATATGATTCTCTGATTTTTATATCTATCCTGAAATTGTCTCCCGTATAGCTGAGTAGGTTTCCTGGTGACTTTGTGATATTCTGGTAAAAGTAATTACGGTTATAAAATTCCCTTTTGAACTCCGAATAGGACGAAAGATTCAGCCGAGGTGGATGTGGAAATAGAAATGAAAGACAGCCATTCTAATATAAAGATGATTTTACCGTGGTTATTCCTGTGGAATCTAGAGAGAGAGTCTGACGCTGGACCTGAAGAGCCTGAAACGCCGGAAGAGGACGAGAGTTCTGAGGAATTCGATTCATCAGGTAGGGAATACTAGTCTTTTAAACATAAAGCCAATTGTGCTGGGTGAGCCGTAGAATTATCTATGTATGAGACCCAGGCACAAAACTTAGTCATCAACGATTGAGCAACAATAGATAAAAGCTCTCATTATCAAGGAAAAAATCACTGTTCTACCGAAAGACATTTTGTTTTTGTTTTTCCCACGTCAAGTACATATACCACTACTTCGCTGCCCTGGGAGTTCATTTGTTCTTCTACTGAGGATGCTTATGGCTAATTACCTGTCATGTTACCCTTTTACAGCACTTTAAGATAGTGAAAAACAGCAAGAGACTGCACTTCAACAAACGCAAGTTGCCGAAGAGGACTACCAGGAAGACTTTTCCATTACAGCTGTTAGATTCCACGACGGAGAGAAAGAGGAAGAGCGACAAGAAGAGAACTTTTCTTCAGGTTTAAGTGACACTGAACAGAGGTTAAGAGAGGAACTTACAAGAACAGAAATTAGAGTAGTTTTGTTAAGCAATCAGCTCTCAAGAAAGCATCAGGAAGCGGAAAACTTTCAGAGACAAGTTCAGAAGATGAAGCAACAGTTGACAATGAGAGGAGATCGAAAAGAGAATTTTCGAACACAACAGGATAGGGAGCAAAGATTGCGAGCGGAATTAAACGAAAAAGAAACGACAGAAATTCTGCTACGAAAACAGCTCAGAGGAAAGAATTGTCAAGAAGCAAGCCTCCGGCGGCGACTGGGGATGCAAAAGCGACAACTGGAGGAGAAAGCTAAGGGTGATGAAACTTTACGAGAACAATTTAAAGAAATGGAACGAAGGTTGAGGGAAGAAATAACTGAGAAAGATGCGAGACAAGTAGTTTTGTGTGAACAGATCACAGAAAAGGACCAGCAGCTAACGGAGATGATACAACAATTGACAGTGACAGAGGAGCGAGAAGAAGATCTTAAGACGCAGGTAAGGAATGTAGAAGAACAGCTGAGAGAGAATGAGGATCGAGTTGAGAATTTACGAACGAACCTGAAAGATGTTGAGCAACGATTAACGCAGAAAGAGACACAAAAAGAAAATTTACGATCAGACCTAGAGCAGATGGAGCAAAGGATGAAAGAAGAATTAACACAAAAGGAAACGAGAGAAACTGAGTTGCGCAAACAGCTTAGAGAAAGGGAGGAGCAGGCTGTGGACTGTCAGAGACATTTGAGCGGGATGGAACAGCAATTGTCAGAAAAAAACCATCAAAACGAAACTTTACTAAGACAAATTAGGGAGATGGAACAACGATCGAGAGAGGTTACAGCGGAGAATGAGTTGAGAGAAAATGAGTTTCGTGAACTAATCAGAGAGAGAGCAAGAACTGAGGGAGACGGCGCATCAGTTGATTGAGAAGGAGCATAAAGAGGAGAACTTACGCGCGCAAATAGGGGTGCACTTAATGGAACAACGGCTGAGAGAAGAAATGATAGAAGAAGCTACAAGGCTAGGTGAACAGCTTAGAGAAAGGGATTAAGAAATAGGAAACTTTCAGATACAGTTGCAAGAGTTGCGTGAACAACTCAGAGAAAATGATCAGCATTTAGCTACCCTTCGAACGAAGCTGGAGGAGCGATTTAGAGAAATTGTAGCAGAAAATGCAAATCCACGACAACAGGTTGTTAACCTCGAGAATCAAGCCGGATCGCAGTCCAATGACTGGGTAATTTCCTGGGATGATATTCAGTTGACTGATAAAAGCCTTGGAGTTGGAGGGTGGGGCGAGGTTTTCGAGGGCAGGTACTGTGGTTGTTCTGTTGCCGTGAAGCAAATCCATGAGGCAATTAATTCGCCTTACGACCAGAGTTTGTTCCAGAGGGAAATTGATATTGCTTCAAGATGCCGACACCCTTGCTTGCTGCAGTTTATTGGAGCGACTAATGACAAGAAAATTCCATTGTTTGCTACTGAGCTGATGGAATCAAATTTGCGCGAGCTACTCAGACAACGACGTCTTTCCCGTAAGGAAATCACCGTAATTTCGCTCGATGTGGCTCGAGCGTTGAACTGCCTCCACCAAAAGAAACCTTTCCCTATTTTTCACCGCGATGTTAGTAGCGGCAATGTGTTGCTATGGCAACAGGGTGACCAATGGCGAGGCAGTGTCAGATTATGGCTCTGCTAAGTTTGAGGAACAGTTCATGTCAATTGGCCCAGGATGTTTCGCCTACAGTGCACCTGAAGTGCAGAGACCAGCATAGCAGACAGCAAAGGTGAGAAAATAAGCTTACAGAATTTCCTTGGATAAATTTTTTTTAAAACATAAACCCTTTACAATTAAGGATCACATGGTACTGGTGTAACTGGGTCTTGAGTCGTGTGTTCGGTCAACGCAAAACGGCAAAAAGTGCTCAGTCTACAAAAACGGTAAAGTGTGCTCAGTCTACACAAACGGCAAAGTGTACTCGGTTACACAAATGGCAAAGTGTGCTCGGTCTACACAAACGGCAGAATGTGCTCGGTCTACACAAACGGCAAAGTGTGTTCGGTCTACACAAACGGCAGAGTCTGCTCAGTCTACACAAACGGCATAGTGTGCTCAGTCTACACAAACGGCAAAGTGTGCTTAGTCTACACAAACGGCAAAGTGTGCTCAGTCTACACAAACGGCAAAGTTTGCTCAGTCTACACAAACGGCAGAGTCTGCTCGGTCTACACAAACGGCAGAGTCTGCTCGGTCTACACAAACGGCAAAGTGTACTCGGTTACACAAATAGCAAAGTGTGCTCGGTCTACACAAACGGCAGAGTCTGCTCGGTCTACACAAACGGCAAAGTGTGCTCAGTCTACGCAAACGGCAAAGAGCTTGTGAAAACCACAATCTTATTTCATTGTCTTTTCTTGTCCTGTTTTGTTTTGCAAAGCAGACAGCAAAGGTGAGAAAATAAGCTTACAGAATCTCCTTGGAGATATTTTTTTAAAACATGAACCCTTTACAATTAAGGATTAAACGGTACTTGTGTAACTTAGTCTTAAGTCGTGTGCTCGGTCAAAGCAAAACGGCAAAGTGTGCTCAGTCTACAAAAACGGCAAAGTGTGCTCGGTCTAAACAAACCTTACAAATCTTACAGTGTCAACATAAGTGATGTTGTCCTCGACTCTTTGAATTAACCAAGAGTTCATTCATACTCTGTTAGGTGCAGTGTACGCGTTGGCTCTATAAAGAAATGTGTACATTTTTATCATTACCTTAGAACATTTGATTGTCACCGAGTAAACTAATTTCTCCCTGTGCATAAATGTAGGCGATAACTATCCAGCTACAGAGCAGTTACATTAGGCTGTAACATGCAACCCCAGAGTCTCAATCCGCAAAACACGACGAGTGAAAACAAAAAGAAACTTAGGGGAAAGAACTTATTCAGGAATTTTGTGTAAGCATATTTGGACCCAAAGCAATACTCTACTTGTCTTTTTGTTGGATTGATTTCAAAATAGTACCAATAACCAGGTTCAGAATGGTTCGTCCCAGTCTTGGATTTGTTCCCTCCCACCTAATATTAAGATAAAATTTATTGACACCTGGTCGTTGATTTTTATTTGAGCTATCTGCAATTTTTGGTGGTTTGAAAGCTGGTACCGCTACCGCGGAACCCTCTCTTTGTCTAGATACTTCAGTTCAATTACATACAAGTGAATCATTAGTTAAGTCATAAGGAGAATTAAGAGTCAGTATTCCATGATAACGATTTATATATCTGTACATGTTCTGCTAATTAAAAAAATGTCCAATAGATCTTAATTTGCCCACCAGCAAAGTTTTTTCTTTTTGTACCATCTGCTTGTTCATTACCCTTTGTCTTAATTGGATGCGTTTTCCCAAGGTTCTTATGTAAACGAGTTTTTCGCGGGGTGCAAAGAAAACTGTGTACTCAGATGAGTAAACTTTTACATATAAATTACTGAACTCTATTTTCAGAGAGGAGGAACAGAACTCCTGAGCTTCGCAATTTGCGTTTCAATGCTCCACTAATGAGAATTCAGCGGTGAGATAGAAAAACCATTAGTATAGGTTAGGATGCGACAAGCGTTTTGCTTCCCTCTAGGATGATGCGCAATGTCGCAAACATTGTGTGAGTGAAAAGGATAAGAAAGCGAGGGGCATATGTTTAGTTAATTTGTCTAATGAGGAAAGATGTTACTCGTTTTGTCACGAGAATGGAACTGTAAAACCATCTGCTTTCCTCGTGGAATGGGTTGCTTCACTTGAAAGGGTTTCCTGTTTCGTGCTTAGGGTAAACCAAGGGTCCAAAATATCTTACGAGTTAAGGTCCAGAAATTATTCCTTGAGTGTCTCAATGGTATAAAGAACCTTGTAGCAACAGCGGACTTGCATAGCGCAAGTTTTGAGGCTGTGATTAACCCTTTCACTCCCAAGATCTCGATGGTAATTCTCCTTACTGTCTGCCGTACAATTCTTGTGATGTTATTTTGGTGAATTTGGTCTTAGATCAACTAAAAATCCACAGATTGATATCTGTGTTTATTCTCATCACTTGTCTGCATGATATTGTATTGATATTGTGAGGAGAAATTCTGTCTTGGTCACACATGGGAGTTTAAAAGTAGCTGATTTATTGTCTAAAACGTATATCCAATATTATTCATTTTTGACGAATTTTGATTTTTAAACTATGGCAAAGGTGACGGCACGATAGAAAAAGGAATAAAGTGCTCATACTATACGTAAACAGAAAATAAGAGAGTTGTAGGAGTGTTGACCTTGCTGAGTGTGTCAGGTCTGGAGACAAATATGAAGAACGCGAGAAACATACCACGTCTTGAACCGATCACTTAAGACTTTTTTTCTTCATCAAAACTTATGACGAATGCGCAGAGAACCCTCTACTGGCTGTTATGAAAGTCACCAGTTAGTCTTGTGAATGTGATCTTTTATCAATCAATTTTTGATTCTATGCCCAAAGCCCATTTAGTTTGATCCTTCACTGACTCCTTTCCTTGGCTTAACATCTTCGTTGAAAATAAGTAGTATACAAAAGTTAACCTAGAAGATTGGGTAGGAGACAACTTGTTTTATTTCGGGAGCATATAAATTTATTTGAAATTGTGCTTTCCAAAAGACATGTGCACCTCCCGAAAACAACACCAAGCTACACTAGCACTGTTAGTCCATAAAGGCTTGCCCAATATGCAATGTCTTAAGTAACTTCTACCCTGTATTTGAACAGAATTTTCTCTTGGCATGTTGGTCAGTCATAAGGCAGACGAAACAAATAATGTTCTATTACCTAATCATAATACTGAGTTACACAGCTTATACAAGCATTTTAACAGGGATAGGTTTGAGACAAGGTGAAACATTTGGTCGCGTAGTCTGATCGTCCGGGTGAGAGTAGTCTTGAAAATGTTGTAAGTTGTTATAAACTGTGCTGCTGCGTCACTGGGAGATATTACAAGATAATGTGGTTTCATCAACGGCGTTGATGATGAAAATTGGCCACCGTAAAGAGTTTCTAAAGCTGACTTTCGAGCGTCAACCCTTCGTCAGATTAAACCAAATTTTCTGATCTTACCTCCACCAACGCAGCACCAAAGTTTTTTTTTTAGAAAAGGTCTGTTATCGGTAAAAGTGACTGCCGTTTCGACAACCTGAGCGAAAGTCATCAACGTAGTTTCCATCAAGGTTGCCGTTTGTCATTCACTATCACAACGAGAAATCCTTTTCAGTACTATTCCCACCCCGACGATCAGACTGCCTGATCAACTAACCTATCTCTAAAATAATAATAACAGATAGAGCCTGTCTCAATTGATAAATTAATTTCTAAATTTAAACTAATTATATGAAATGAGAATAAGACTACCTTCTATCATATAAACTACGGTGTTATACAAGGATTTCCAGCCCTAAGTAAAGCTGTAACTACACAAGTGGAAAAATCAGCTGCTGACACGTCACTCGTCTTTCGCGCCACTCGGTCAGGATGATGGATGAAAGGTCGTCTGTCAGAATTTTTCCGGATTATGGCTGCTATAACACCGAAAAATCCGTACTATACAGACAGCGGCGTTCAAACTTCTCTAGAAGACAATGTCCGAAAAGAAAAACCGATAGTTACGTAGTCAGTGGCTGTGATAATGGCATTTCTCGCGGCTGAGAACGAAAATCAATGGCTGAAAGATTAGTGACAGGCCGAGTTTGGCCGTGTACCTGAAAGATGTCTTCTGTCGGTAAGGACTTAGTCAAAAACTGAGAAATTTGTGTATTGAAAATTACGCTCATTGTTTGGTTTTGTAATGTTTCAACGCATTTTTTCATCTTGAGCCTTAGCACGAACGCACTTTACGATTTTTATTCGGGGATTGTCGATCCCTACACTTTCATTCATTAATAAATTCGACTTTTGTTGTCAGTAAAGGCTTATTGTGTTAATATTATGCTTGGTGAAGTTCTTCAGACTGAACTGATGTAAAGGGTTGGACTATGATCATGATTGGCTATCTTTATGGCCTTGTTATTAACGCTTGTCAAAGGGAACTGCATGCTTATTCTGAGATCTCAAATAAAGTGATTAACCATGCAAAAATAGACAGACGGACGGAAATAAAAAAGGTCTGCGCGTTCGAAGAAGATTTCTACCCTTAGTTTTAACCAAAAGGTAGCTAAATTATCATTCCATCTATTTCTTTCCCTCTCGATTGTACTTTTCACTACTTCATTTGAGAGCCTGAGACAACAAGACATCTTATCCTTTCTAATTAAGCAGGTAATATTTGTTGATAAACTATTCAAGGAAATGTCAGTGTCCAAGCGTTAACGACAATACGAATTATTTTGATATTCAAGTGTCTCATGAACTTTCTCTTTTATCACTCTTTTACCACTTTAAATAGTATCGAAACTACTGCTTTGTAACTCAGTAACTTAACCATACTTCAAGGGCAAGGTTGCATATAAGTGATGTAGTAAGGCAAATAGGCACACAATATATCTCCTTACCTTCCCCGTCTGATTCAAAGATTTATTTACTTCGGGAGCGCTGTAAGCAAAACAGCCAGGACCAATCGACATCTTCTGTTCCTTGAATTTGGCAGCGCCGTAACCAGAAACTTTCCCTCGCCATCGATTTCCTTGTCGCCATAGCAACACATTGCCACTGCTGA